ACAAAGCAATAACAATCCCTTCCTCATTCCTGAAAACTCCCCCAATCCCAGAGGGCCCTAGATTCCTTATGCTACTGCCATCAAAATTCACTTTTATAAATCCAGAGGGAGGAGGGGACCACAAGGGACTAAGAGTCCTCTTACACAGAGTAGAGGTTGCTATCTCTTTCCAGTTTCTTAACAGGTCAGCAATAGGAAAGTCTGAGAACAGTTTCATAGTTTTAGCCAGTAGGCAGCCCTTAAAAGTATTAGGTCTAATACTTCTTCCAAGGATCTTTCCTTTTCTGAAAATATTCGGGAGTTTCTTTCCTCCCATAGTGACCAACACACTGCTGCCCTAATACTCCTCCACATCATCTTCCCTCGCTTCTTAGCCCATCTGAATAACGAAGGGGAGAACAAACCTTGGACACTCTCAGGAGGGTTCCAAGTACACCCAAAGTGAGAAAGTACCCACTCCCAAACAGTTTTAGTAACCTTACAAGAGACCAAAAGGTGGTAACCGGATTCCCCATCATCTTTACAGAGAGAGCATCTATTAGGAAGTAAATAAGAATTGGGTCTCTTTTTCTGAAGTAGATCATTTGTATTTATTCTTTCCAGGAAAATTTCCCAACAAAAAAACCCAACCCGAGGAGGAATGGGCTTGCTCCAAAATTCCTTAATYKGAAAKGACACACCAGAAGGGACAGATGACTGAGTTAAGGTTTCAAAAAACGAAGCACAAGAGAAGGTACCTGAAGTAGAAGGAATCCAAATTCTAGTGTCTTCCCTATTAGGATCAAGGAAGAAATTCTCAAAGATGGCTAATAAAGGTAAGAGGCTGTCCAAGTCTATATCCCTAATTGCCCTTCGCAGGCCGAGGTTCCACCCAAAACCAGAAGTGGAGTCTGAAGGAACTAAAAAAGAAGAGATAGGTTCATTTTTCAAATCTGACAGAGCATACAAGGAAGGAAACTGGTCCTTCAGAGGTGAAACCCCAACCCAAAGATGTTCCCAAAATTTTATTCGATTGCCAGAGTTAACGTCGTACCTAATCCAAGGGGAGAAAAGAATCCACACCAATGTTGTGTTTGGGTAACCATGAAGCAATGATTTGAATTTTATTTCCCCATCAATTCCATGGCATTTAGCTAGCACCCTCACCCTAGCCCTAGGAATTTCAAAACCTGCTTGCTTCTATCCAAATATCAAAGTCCATAAACTTGTGGCATTGGAGGAACACTGATTTCATTTCTCCTCCCAATTTCTTTCTTTTTTTTTTTTTGGTAAGTATCCTCCCAATTTCAATGCAGCCCCAAATTCCATGCTTTGGCATCTTTCTTTTCCCAATTTCTAATTTGCATTGGAATACCAACTATAGATCTAAGGTCCATTGATAAAGACTTGGAAAAAATTACCATTGAAAGGGAACTATGAGATCAATTAGGTGTGGTATCCTCCAAAAATATAAACATTAAGACTGTTGGCTGCTATGAGCATTTTCAAAATATTTGTACCCAAAGGAAAATACAACATAACTTCCTTGCTAATAATAATGAATACATGGATTTTTTTTTCAATCAATAATAAATACATTGACATTGTGATCTCAGAAAGAGCAGAACTGTAAAATTTTTTAGGTGAAGCTTGAGTCTTTGGAGGTGATTATTAGCAAGTTGGAATGGAACTTGAGGCAATGGACCGGTAACTCAAGGCTGTTTGTGGGAACTTCGGCCAGCCATTTTTCTGATCATTGGCCATCTATTATATTTTGATTTCTATGTATAGGAGCTGAATGTATATGTTATGTGCATATATACAGGCACACTTTTTGTATACGATTGAGGGTTCCTAACCCTCCTTTACAGTCTATACTTAACACAACTACTTCCACCATTTATAATAATGATAACAATAATTATAATAATAATAATTAAAAGCATAGGCATCATTAGCTATTTCAATCATGGTTTACAACATGAATGTATATATCAAAATAATGAGAGTTTGCCTCTTTTGCAGTAAAGTACCTTAAAAATTCTCTCCACGATCTCATAGTATAAACCCCTTTTAGTCTTCCCTCCAGTAAAGAGCACTCCATTGACCAGACTGAGCTTCTGCAGTAAATAGGGAATATTGTCATATCTATTTCCATATAACTAGCAGAAGAAAATGGAGAACTGGAGATGGGAAAAACACCATGAACCTTAATAAAATACCTAGACTACCTAGTATGGAACATTGTAGCAATTAAAAGCAAAAGAGAGCCAAACCGTTTTTAACAAAGGCTAAAGATAAATATTTATAGCCTGTTTAAAATGATCTATAACAACTGGAAAACCAATGCAACAAGTGTACTACATGAACTATGAAAGAGCTTCAACTTCTGAATGCTCCAATTTGCTTATGAGAGAACGGTATTGTAATATCAATATCTAAGAATTAATAAATTATCTTTAATAATACTACGATAATACTGGATGCTCCAATTTGCATATGAGAGAACGGTACACAATCATGTTATTCCATGATAAAGGAAGAAGAAAAGAACGACAAGGAAAACTAGTGTTCCTATACATTGTTGAGGTGCGGAGAACTAGCACTAACCCAATTTTAATTATAAATTAGGTGCCTCAATGCCGCGTGAAATGAAATTACTCTTTTTTTTCTGGGTAGTATAGTATTAAAATTTAAAACCCAAAATATCCTCATCTAAATTGGAGCGGTTTCCCATTGCAATGAAAAATTCGAAATGCGTGCACTTCTTGTAAGACGGAAATGGGTGAACTTTTTGTCAACAATCTGAAACTGCTCCGTTTGGTAGGTTAACTTGTGCCCTTAAAAGTAAATCCAGTGAAAATCAGATTAAAATATTAAATCCAGTGAAGATCATTTCATTCCAAGTGATTCCAAACAACCAATCAAAATATTAATGGACTCCAGCTTCTACGAAAATGTAATTTCCTAGCTTCAACAAGGAAGGGCGTGAAGCATTAAACCTTCCCAATTTCAAGGAAAACGAAGCACTCACTTCAGCGAGAATCTCCGCTGGCTCATTATAGATGAGAGGAATAACGCGAGCACCAGCAGATTCCACGAATTTCACATAAGAGGCAGCAATATACGAGGCATTGGTAGCGTTGTTAAGCCTCCCGGAAGCACCATCACCGGGATGACTCAAAATCCCAATCACCGGCCGAAAATAAAGCGCGGCATCAGAAGTCGGGGAGCTCGACAACCGCGGACACCCAAGACCAACCTCGCCGGGCAGTAGAATCGACTGAGCTTTCGCGGAATTCATCTCCTTGGACAAAGAAATCAAAAGAGGAGTCCATAAGCAATTCCAAATTTCCGAGTACCGAGCAGACGACAAGGACGAAGAAGAAGCGGAAGAAGCGACGCGATGCTGAGAGTCGTTGGTGTCTTGTTCGCGTTGATTGTCGGAGAAATCAGAAATGGAGTTACAGTGGAATCGAGAGTGCATTTTCGAAAACTGACGACGAAAGAAAGAAGTTAGGGTTAGCGACGATGAGGAAGCCAGAAAAGACGATGGTCATGCAAGAACGAGGGCCACTCTTCTGGTTCTGGACATCGATAGCCGGCTGTCTCGTTCTTCTTAGACCGCAGGGTTTGATTTGATAGAACGTAAGGCGATGAAGAAGCATCAACCATGGACACTGGTGCGTTAAACAAACAGTGCGTTACAAGTCAGAGTCGCATTTGTTAAAAAAAGCTGTTCCAATTTATCCTAGTGAATGTGAGAAGTGAGAACACTGTATTTTTACGTGGGTGTGTGTGAGAGAGAGACAGACAGAGAGAGAGACAGTCTGTGTTCAAATTAAAAACAACAGGAAGAACCGAAGAATCGAGAAGAAGTAAGGTCATATGTTTGTTCTCCTTTCTCATGGACGTTGAGATTGGTAAAAGCCGGTTGGCTACACGTGGTAAGCATTCGACATGTTTCGTCGTGGGTCGTCGCCGTGTTGTGTAGGCTAAAGGCTTAACTCTAGGTAAGACACCGCAATTTATACTTCGACGTAAAGACAATTTTAATATATGTAATCGGATATATCTTAGATATGCATATTAGAGAAAACCTAAGATGCGTATAAATATGTTTGGAAATACTATAAATACTTTAATAAATCATAAAAATACATCAACATTGTTAAATATAAGATCTCAATAAAGAAATACATTATAGCTAATTATAATTTTATTAAAAATTCTATGCTTAACTATAATTTATAAAATATAATTCTTAAGTTTTAAAGTTTTATGAGATGAGAAAAACCAAACTCTTCTATCCAACCATAAAACATACATTGGCACAACTTCTATGTGAAAATATAATTAATAATTATTTATTATTTAAATAATTATTATTTATTATTCATTTTCAAAAATTATAAAAAATAAATAAGCATTATATAATATATTCAAAAAATAGTTATTAAAGAAGAAATTTCAATTGTGGATATGATAGATCATCCATAAAATTATAATATATTCAATCATTGTGATCAAATGATAAAATATAATTAATTATTTATTTATTTTTTAATTCTAAAAAAATAATAATTATTAAATAAGAATTTTCAATTGGTCTATGGATATGATAGATCATCCATAGAATTATAGTGTATTCAATTGTTATAATCAAATGATAAAATATAATTAATTATTAATTATTTTTTAATTCTAAAAATAAAAAAAATAATAAGAAATATATATATTAAAGAAGAAATTTCAATTGCTCTATGGATATGATAGATAAATCCATAAATCTAATACATATTTAGTCTTTATAGGCAGAGAAAAAACTTACATTTTCAATTTTTTTTGTTAATTTATATTTTCCCCAAATACTTTCATGAAATTTCTATAAATCTATTGATAGCACAAAAGATTGTGATTTTGAATGTACAAAATGTAGATCAACATAAATTTAAACATTCAAGAAAAAAATGAATCACAATATATTATAAAAGATTGAAAAAAATTACATAATTTTGCCATATTTTTTCAAAATTTGAAAAATCTTTAAAAAAATTAACAATTCACACTTGTTTCTTGCAAAATTTTGCAAATCTAAAACTCTAGGAATGGAGTTTGGAGTTTGAGTTATTTGGGGGTGAAAGAAGGCTTATTTCGGGGAAAAAAGCTTGCTTTCCCCCTTTAATTCTTTTTTAGTTTTTGGACGTATCTTTTTCATCGATATGCTACCAATACGCTTCTGATACACCCCGATACACCCCCGATACGGATTCGATACGCATGAGAAAAGACGAAACATCCGGTTTTCATGCGTATCTTGTATTGGTTTTTAAAAGATACAATACGATACGCCCTGTATCGGGTGTATCGTATCGAAATTTTAAACCTTGCCCCGATGGCCATGGGATAGGTATTTTGGCTTAAAAAGGAAATGTTGAAGGAGTGGCAGGGTTTTGGAGGGAATTTGGGGTTTTATATAGGGTATTACACTTTAGAACGTTGAGCCTAGGCTGCAAGTGGGTCCAGGTTAGGTCGGGTTGAGGCCAATGCCCAACCCTAAGTTTTAAATCCCAACCTGACTTATTCAAACCTAACCCTAACTAAATTCCTTTAATCCTAATCCAATCCAACCATAGGCTAAGTTCGAGTTGGGCCCAATTCAATCTCTTTTTCATCTCTTAAAATCTTGCATAATTTCTCAATCTTAGATCTGAACTCAACTTTCATTATATATATATATATATATATATATATATACATATATTAATCCTATTTTTTATTAGTATTTATTTGTTGATGTTTTTATTGGTTTTTTTAGTACAAAATTCAGAAAATTAAGTGTTTGAAATGACAATAGTTAATCATAAGTTATGACTTATGATATATCTTTTATGGGCAGCACACTATTGGTGGAAAACAATAGAGGAGATAAAACAAAATATGTTATTAAGTTTTTAATATTTCCGATTAGAATTAAGTGACATGACTATCTTAAAAGAAAGACATGATAGCATGTGCTGGGGATTGCCTGAGGGGTCAACCCTAACCCAACCTGAGGTAAAGTTGGGTTCATAAATTTCAACCTTAATCCTAATCAGAGCATCAACCCGACTCAACCCAACTCAACATTTTTGTGTTAGGTTTGGGCCAACCCAACCCAAGTTGCAGCCTTACTTGGGCCTAGTTTGACTTTAGTATCCAAATTTTAAAATGTGCCAATTTAGTACCGGAACTCCCAAAATATCCCAGTTTAGTTCAAAATCGTTAAATACCATTAAATGGTATGTAAAAATATGCAAATACCCTTTGTGTCATCTAATTTTCTTCATTAATCATTTAAATGCCCAAATCCAAATGTCCTTTGAGTTGTTCATCATTGATTTGGTTCAATCTTGATTATTGAGGAAGAAGATGATGAATAGTATCTTATTTCGAAGAATAATTTTGACATTTTCAAAAGTTTTAAGTCGCATATGTCATCATGTGTAGATAACTGATGGATTACTAACAACAAGGGCTAAATTGTAATGCTCTGGGAGTTTAGGTACTGGGTTGACACGTTTTGAAATTCAGGTACCAAAGTGAGACTAGACCTACAAGGTACTAATATGCAATTTAACCCTTTTATATATTCTTATGCCTTTGAAATTTTACAAACTATATATTTATAGGTAGGTATGGTATTAGGCTAAAGCTAAATCCACCCTTCTTGAATTGCATATACTTAGAAGTCGTATGAATTTATATAGTAGGGGTTAAATTTGATAATATATTAAGGTCACATTTGATTCACTAGAATAGGGATCTAGAATCAAAATTGGAATGGGCTATTCCAATTCTAACTATTTGGTTGGGTAGAATCAGAATCCCATTCTCCTTCATGGTAGAATGACATTTCCCCATTTGATGGAATGGCCTTTCCCTCCTCTCCCTTCAAAATGAAATCTCATTCTTGTTAATTCTAATTTCATTCCCATTCTTGTCTAAACCAAATAGACTATGGGAATAGGGGTGAGAAAAAAAATGGAAAAACCAAACCGATCGAAAAAACCAACTAAAACTAAACCAAAAACTCAGTTAACCGAACCAGTCGGTTCGGTTTCGATTTGATATTCTTAAGAAACCGACAATTCCAGTTCGATTTCGGTTAACCTTTAAAAAAATCAGTGGTTAACTGAACCAACCGGTATATGTATACTAATATGTATTATATAATATTTTATATTTTCTAAAATCGAATAGGCTTCTCGCTTTCTCTTTATTTTTTTCTCTTTTAAGTATAGTCCTTTATGTCGTTTTCGGTGACAACTTTTCATGATTTCCTGTTGCAGAATGCATATCTAAAGCAACACGTATCCGCCTGTGATGCGCATCCCCGTGCAATCCGACAGTCTAAGACCAAAGATTCCTTATGCATGGCTGGGTCATCGAACAGTGGGTTGGCTTTCTCGTACTATCAGCGCAAAGTGTTCTGAGAGCTCAACCCTTGTTCTGGGAATGTCCATAAAAACTTCTTCGGTCTCTGAGTCCTCATGAATCAGGTCTCTAAATCTCTACACTACTTGGAAATTTGAATCGATTGGTAGGGGATGAAGAAAATTTTGATGTAAAGATGGTTGGAAAATTATAAAGAAAAGTTTGAAGGGAAAAGAAATGTATGAGTTGAACTGGGAATACAAAAAGAGACGTTAGATTCTTCCTCTCTTTGAATCAAATTAACCTAAATGCCTTTCCCTTTTCTCTCACTTTCAGTTCTCAATCTCTCAAGTCTTCTTCTTCCCCAAACTGACCGATGGCCTCCAAGTCTCCGATCAACGACCTTCGAGTTCTCAGTCTCTCATCTCTCAGTTCTCTCTCTTAGAGTAAATGCCTTTCCCTTTCTCTTTCATCTCTCTAGTCTTCTTTTTCCCTAGACCGACTGACGGCCTCCAAGTCTCCGACTGACGACCTCCGAGCTCCAACTAACAGCCTCCGAATTCTCAGTTCTTTCTCTTATCTCTCTTCTTCTTCCCTAATGGGAAAAAATCCCTGATTGACTAACAACCTCTCTCTCTCTCTCTCTCTCTCTCTCTCTCTCTCTTTTATTTTGAGTGCATAAAAAATTGAACCGCGGTTAATCGGTCACCAGTTAACCAATTGCATCGGTTCGGTTTCGGTTCAAATTCTCAAAAAGCCAATCAGGTCAGTTCGATTCAAAAAATAACCCCAACCGAACCGTGAGCACCCTTATATGGGAATAAAATAGACCATTCCGATTTTGACTACGAACAAATGGACCCTAAATTTTATATGAAGGATAATTAATAGTTTATATGTTTTTACATGTTTTAATTAAACTAATAAGTATGCACAACACGTGGCAATTTTTTGTGATGATGATGATAATAAATAATATGTTTTCAATATTTTTTACACTTTTTTATTATTCTTATTTTGGTTTAGGGCAAATTTCTTGAAGTACCCCTAATATTTAGGAAATTGACTAACTCTATCCTTATTGTTTACATATTATTTTAAAGTACCCCCAAGTTTTCTAACAATTATCATTGTCGTTAAATATTGATAGAAAAAAAGCAAAATATTAAATTTATCCTCCATTATTTCTCAAAATTTCAAAATAAAACCAAGTTGATGAAAAAGTGGTAGAAGATGAATGATATTGGCTTTAGCAGCCACCAAACCCCCAAGCTCCTGTATCCAACATATATGCCCTTCCTCGCTTGAGCATGTTAACCCAGGCTTTCCCTCCACTAAACAATATTGTTGTTCCTATCGCCACCATTACACGTTTACACCATTGTTCGTATCTCCTTCAATCAACAACAAGAATAATTTCAAGCATTAGCTCAGAAGTAGACTTGTTTATGGGCTGGGCTCAGGCTTGGCTTTTGACAAAATTTGAATGGGGCCCAGCTCAAAGCCTGAGCCTAGCACCGTATAAGTTAGATGCGAAGC